AATCCCTTGTAATGTTTACTAATAATCTGCAAAATTGTGTGAAGATACATGTACATTTTAAAAAGTTACAGTATAACTGCTTTATGGTTACGTTGGGAATATAGGCTGGGTGGAATGCACCCATCCATAGTAGAAGGGTTAAGGTACTGTTCCAACTTTCTTACTTTTCTATGAAAAATCTTGTTGTTTTTATCAAGATTGGAATTTTGGAAACTAACAGAGAAATTTTCTTCCTTTTCAATTGTAAAACCAATTGATGAAGTTTGAGAATCTTTTTCTGTTTTAACCCTTTCACTGCTGTATGCGACTTTAGTCAAATTCCAGGTACAGTGCCAAACGAGTTTTAAGTCAAATTCCTGACATAGTTCCATTTACCGGTCTGTAATTTACTCTGTGCCACATCTGCACGGTTTCTAGGCAACCACAATGTAATTTAGTGTAATTTCCTTGATCGTGGGTGTCATTTTTGAGAAATTCTTGACTTTTGACTCAATTTGAAGGCACTGACTAGAACCATGACAACAGGTAAACATAAACAAAAACAATGGCTTGTCACAGAGGATGTATTGGGCTAAATAATGCTAGATTCAGACTCATAATTAAGTGAATTTGGTGATGACGATTGGGAAAACAGTGAAACAGATACCAATAATGCTGTAAGTAATCATATTACATATTATGTAGCGCATGGGGACAGTGATAATGATGATGATGGTAGCCAAAGGGGAGTGGCTGATGCTGATCATGAGTCACTGATGGTGATTACGACAGTTATATCCCAATTTGGTGCCCAGCTTGTGCCAAAAGGCTTGGCCCTGTGATTCCACCTTTGCCTGATGGTAACCACCCTGTAGATTATTTCTACTTGTTATTCCCTCAGGAAGCATTTGAGCTTATTTGTAAGATGACTAACACCTATGCCCTGAAATTCTTTGATAATCCAGCGGATCTCCCTGAAAATTCATGCTACAATGATTGGGTTGAGTGTACTACAGATGAAATCAAAGCCTATGTTGGCTTGCAGATAATGATGGGATTGTGTTTCAAGCCAAGGATTAGTGACTACTGGGCAACTGGGGGTAGAGCCCAGTTCTTTGGTTATCAAGATGTACTGCCACGTAATTGTTACCAGCTGATCAGTTCATTCCTTCATTTTTGTGAAAATTCTCAAAGGGTTCCACATGGAAAGGAAGGATATGATCCTTTGTATAAAATTGCTCCCCTCATGAACATTGTGAAGCCACTGTATAAGCAGTATTACATTCCACATTGTGAACTTACAATTGATTAATCATTGAGGAAGTTCAAGGGAGAGATATACTTTTGTCAGTATATACCAAACAAACCCACAAGATGGAGTATAAAACTGTGGTCATTGTGTGAGAGCAAGTCGGGTTATCTTTTAGACTGGGATGTTTATACTGATAGAGAGAACAACCCTGTGGCACCAGAGCAAAGCTTGGGTCATAATGTTATGAACCTGACGGGCAATAATGGATACTTGAACCTCGGCCACCATTTATATGTGGATAACTTCTACTCCAGCCCTGGCCTTTTTGAAGCCCTCAAGGAACAGGGTGATTTAGGGATTTTAAAATAATGCGTTAAAATAATCCGGCAGTGAAAGGGGTTAATAGCTGAAACCACAGAAAATGTTGATATATCTCCACAAGGGGTTTGGAGATGGCTGTGTCCAAAGTTTTTCAAGCTAAATTAAAGGTGAAAGGTCATTATTATAAAAATAATAAATATATATAAATGTATAATGTTATGAGATTTAAGCTATTTCGTCTAAACATTTATGTTTTCGTGTTATAATTTGTGTTCATTCCAGAACGAAAGATGCATAATTTTGGTTTTTCCTAATTTCTATGTTGGTTATGAGATTGGTCAGTCCTACCAAACCCATACAGAGATTCATTACTGAAAATAACAAATAAAATATAAATTTGTTTCTTAAGAATCATTTGATAACTATCTGGATATTATTAAGATTTTGCATATGAAATTTCAAAATTTTTTGATGCATAAAAGTATTTTTAATCTTATAATGAAAATTACTTTGCATGTTAGATAGGCAAATTACGAAAAGAAAAGCATGAGAGAAACATTGCTTTACAAACCTTAAGACTTAATAAAACAAATTTGATATTTTGATTATAAAAGCATTGTGACATGCCAAATTTCATTAACATTTACTTACTAATTTAAGTTATAGCATTAAAACTATAAAAGAATAAAATGGTTACGAAGGTTGGTCCCAAGGACTGAGCCCAGGTTGAAAGAGTTAAGAAATGCACGAGATATAAAATTTCCAATTTTGATTTCATTTCTTCCTATTTTTTTTTTCATTGCACCGAAAGTATGGAAATTTCATTTTATGTAAAAACATACTTAACTTTCATGGATTTTTTTAAATTTGATACACTGATAGATCTTTACAACCTACAATGGTCTAAATATAAGTAACATGTGCAAAGTTATTCAACAAAAACTGCTCAATTTTGACCAAAAGTTTTGCAAAAAGTCACGAGCTATCAGCCTGAAATTTTTACTACAGCTTCACCTATGAATAAAGGTGGACAGTTATTAGGCTTTTGTCATTCGGATTAAAGATGGATGATTTAAAACAGCAAAACTATAGAGTGAAAGCACATGCAGATATACAAGTATTGGTTAAGCTAAGCAAACTAGATTAGCAGTTTCTAGCTCAAGTTTTCAAAAGAATCATAAAGGTAAATGGTTATTATTCACTGCAAACTTTTAAGCACAAATTTGCAAATTTTTATGAAATTCTCCTAATTAAAGTGTTTAGCTTCAAGTGATATTAATTTAAGCAATCAGCATAAATAATGATGCTTGATACAGCTGTATTGAGTGCATGCGGTTGATGACAAGAAACTGTTAATCTGGTTTCCATGGTGTCACTATAAACACTGTTTTAGAGAGGAAAACTACCTCATATATTTTAAAGAATCTGGTTGGTTCTGTAAAGTACAGGTCTGTTCCAAATAATAGGGTTGTGATCCTAAAGCTAATGTTGGTTACTATCAAGTGTCACTTTCTTACTTGCTGTGGTTTCTTGGTGTGTATTGACAAAAAGTCATGATATCTAATAAAAAACACCTTAAGTGTGAAAACAATGTGCATCCAAAAAAGAATATTGGTGGCCAAACATTAACATTTTCTAACACTTCTGATAGGTACTATAGCTATCTTGACCTTCATTTGCTCTCTAGGCACTGATAAATCTTATGAACAGCACACCAATCTTTTATACTCCTATATTGTTTTGCATCATTGCAGCAACATGTGCTGATCATGTGACCATCTTCCACCAATCCCATTGTGCCCTCTGTACTAGCACAAGTAGCTCCCTCTACCATTGCAGCACAACCCTCACTTTCAAGAATCAGCATATACAAACCCGAAAACACCAGCAAATCAGTAGGGAGGAAAGTGGGTGAAAGGAGGTAAGTACCTATCGAAAATACTTTTTCTTTGAAAATGTTAATTTTCGAAACAGTACTAATCCCCCCCCCCCCACAACTAGAATAAACGAGAGAAATCTTTATAATGTCCAAATAGTTATCAAATGTTTCTTAAGAAAAAACTATATTTTATCTGTTATTTTCAGTAATTAATCTCTGTACGAGTTTGGTAAATTTGACCGATCTCATAACCACCAGAAAAAAAGAAAAAAACAAAACAAAATTATGCATCATTCATTCTAGAATGAACACAAATTATAATACGGAAACATAAATTTTTAGGTGAAATAGCTTAAATCTCATAACATTATACATTTATATATATTTATTATTTTTATTTTATTGACCTTTCACCCATGCCTGGCAAACAATACAGAAATTACAATGACTCTGCTCACGTGCACTCATGTTACCATATCCAATAACATAAAACTGATCCTTGGTCTGTACAAAGTAACTTGTCTTGGCTGTGTTTTAGTAGATGAGTATTTTTGTAAAATACAGTCAAATTTAAATTATTATACATTATATATGTATATAGATTATTGCTATTTTGAAATAAGTTCTTAAACTTATTTTTCCTAAAAACATAAAAGCAAACAATTATCTCTTCTAGTTACGACCATTGTACTCGGTTGCTGCTTGATGTAGGTTGATAAGCCTTTAAAAATTTTGCACGTGGAGGACATGAAACAAAATATTTTTTGTAGATTTAGTATATACTTTTGAATAACTAAAAAATCATAAATTACTACATCAATACCATAGAATTCTACTATAATTTATCAAATGTAGTAAACTAAGTTGTATTTGGGTCTAAAAAAAATATGAAATTTCGAGCAGACTAAAGACACAACCTACCTCATTGAAATCTTGATTTAAAAGAAAAAATGACCCTAGGTACATAAGAAATGCTTAGAAAACCACTAGGGGACATTCTTAGCTTCCAATTGGCTATTCATGTCATATATAGAAGTAAGTGTTTATAAGGGAGCATTTCCAAAAATGGAAAGAGGTGAGCAAGGTGCCACTATGTATGATTTATTATGTGAGCAATATCTTAGCAAATAG